CAAGTCATCTTTCATCTGCTTCTCTTCTCTTCTCTTCTCGTCTCACTCTCCGTATTGGAGAGTAAGGTAATATCCCCATGTCCGCGCACCAGCAACAAGCAAGCCAAGCCGTGGCCCGACCAACCCGACCGACCGAAACCAGAATATAGGGGGGGAAAAAGGGAAAGAAAAAGCCAGCAGAAGATAGCACGAACCTGTCCCCTCGCGCCAACAATTTCAGCCCCAGAACCTGAAGAATCCCAAAGCAAGCATCATTATCGGGGGGGTCGGGTTCCTTGGCCCCAAAACGCCAGACACCGACCGGCCCAATGTCCCACCACCCCACCCACCACTCGTCATGCTTGTTCATGACGAGGAACAAACGAAAGAACCCCAAGAGAAAAAGAGAAAGAGAAAGGGGAATAGATAGGTAGCAGAGTGAAGAGGATTAAGGTAGGAAACCATGTGCTGTGCTGTGCTGTGCTGACCAAGAGAAGGCCCTCCTGATCAACCTGAAGGGAACCCCCTGAGTCTCCGTCGTCATCCATGTCCGCGGGATCATGTGCCTGTGCAGTGCCCGAGCACTCCGCAGTGCGTGAGTACCCACTAACGCAGATGTCTGGTAGGTAACCGAGGGAGTTATTATTATATGCCATCTCCCTCGACATCAAACTCGACCCACCCCTCCCTGCTGGTATTATGTAGTATGGCCATCGCCAGTCGCGCCCGTATAGGTAGGTAGTTAATCAGCAAGCCCCCCCTCTTTTGCATGTGTTCGCTAAGTAAGTAGATACTCGCTAACCACGGCGCTCCCACTTCTAATCCGAGTCGCCAGCAGGGAGGGTCTCTGGGTCGAGAGAATTCCACATGGCCTCCATGTGCGCACTGCAAGGTTCCCCAGCGGTTAGCAACGCCACCACCCCTCACACAAATCGTCCTTAGCACAGATACTCACTTCGTCACGTCAACCAACTTAACCCCCAACCGCTTCAGAAACGACAAAAACCTCCGCTTGGTCCGCTCCCTCTTGAACTGGGCCATGATATCACCCCTGGGATTGACATCCTCCCCGTTGGGGCCCTTCTTGTGCGCAATGACAACCTTGGCGTTGCCCAATGCGTGCATGGCCCGGTCAATCTCGTCGAGGCGGAGGTGGAAGTCGTATGGGTCCTTGAAGACGGACCACGTGGGCGGCTTCACGGTGCGCAGGACCTGGTGCTCAAACAGGCCCTCGCCCTTGTCGTCCACCCAGTGCCAGTACTGGGTCACACGTGGATTGCTCGCAATGTCGCGCGTCTTGACCTGCTGGATACGCCAATCGATTATCGTCAGTGTGTCCTTGCTGATCGAGTCGGTCGACGTATAGCCATCGTCGAGGTCGGCCGCCGCGGGAGTTCTGCTCCTGGCCGAGCCATGGGCCTTGACCGTAAGGCGCTGCTTCTTGTTGGGCGTGTTTGCGCCCGAATGGGGCTGTCCGCCTTCTAGTTTCGCCTTGCCCTTGCCCTTTTGCTGTCCGGTCGCTGGGGCTGCGTTAGCCGCTCCTGTCGGGGCCTTGTTGCCGCTGGCTGTATGATCTGTCCGCCGCGGTGTTGACTCTGGGGTCGAGTGCGGCTCTTTTCGCTTCAGGGCCCGCGGCGTCCCCTTCTTCTTGCTGCTCTCGCCGTCACCACCACCCTTGGACATGCGGTGAGCCGGCGGACGCCCAATCGTGGGCAAGCCATTCACTCTCCGACCTTGTTCCACTTTGAGGTCGCTGTACGCTTTCTCCAGCCAGTGCGAGAGACTGAACTTGTTGCCTTTCTCCTGATGGAGCTCGTAAATACGGTGACGCAGCCACTGGGATGGCGTAATGTCGAGATTGAACTTGGGTAAATCTTCCATGAGGAGCTGAGCCATTCGGTACAGCGCTTCGTAGCAGGTGATTTTCGGGTTCAGCACCTCCTTGCCAACGAGCTGGTAGGGGTGTAGCTCCCCTTCTTCGAGGAACTTGAGAATAGTGCGGCCGCGCTTGGCATCACGGTTCGCGAGATGCTTGTCCCGATGCTTTGTTCCCTCCTGCTCCAGCCTCTCGTATTTCTCCTGATACCTTTGCATCTGGGGCACCACAATCTCCTCCAGCGGCACCCAGTCGCTCTCCCAGTACGGGTGATCTGGGCTAATCTTTGCAAGGGGTACTCCACGCATCATGGGTGGGTCAGTAAACACGGTTCCATCATCGCGGAGGCACAGCACCTCCTTGTTGATCTCGGGCAGAATCGGAGCGTCGTCATCCTCCGGTGATTGACTTGGGAGCTCCGATGTGGATGGTGCCTCTGTCTGCGCGTGCGATTTCCGCGTGCTCGGCAGTGCTTTGCGTTGCGGTTTCTTGGTGCTACCGCGGATAGCCTCCTCGTCACTGCCCACTTCCTCTTTGGCTGCTCTGCTTGAGGATGGTGCGTTAACAGCCGTAAAACTTCCGCCGGACGAGCGTGCGGAATTCTTGGCAGGCTGCTTGCCACTGCGAGAACCCGGCGGCGGGTTCAAGGTGGCGCCGGAACAGCCACGCCTGTTCCATTCGCAGTTCCCGCACCGCGGGAAGTCCTCGTCATCAATCATTACACATTCCTGGAATAATCCATATTTGGTGGAACATTCCTGGCACGGTCGTCCCTGTACTTCGCCCGTTGCCTGAATGTAGACACTGAGCCATTTAGCTCCCCTCTTGTCATCGGCCGGGGGATGTCGGATTGACTCGAGATCTTGAGCGGTGAACTTGCGGCCTTTCCGAATCTGAACGGGTCGCTTGACGGGGAGAGTCGTAATGGCCTCGACAAGGGGGTTATTCTTCGCAATGGGAAGCAACTGTCCTATCAACTCTCCTGAGTCGTTATAGACCTCGACCGTACCAAAGGCATTCTCCTCGGGAGTCGCCAGCATCGGTGACTCTTTTGCGGGAGACACGGGCGTGTCCAATACCGGCGTCGTGTGTCTTGAGCTTAGCTCGGAGGAAAGAGACGATGAGGGCGAGTCTGGCACTGCTGGCGTTTCCAGAGTGCTGGTAGGGGCTTCGATCAAACCAGTGCCGTTGGCAGCTGAAGCATCGACGGGTATAGTCTCTTCGTTCTCCTTGGGAATCTCTTCGCTCTCCTTGGAAATCTCTTCACTCTCCTTGGAAATCACTTCGCTCTCCTTGGAAATCCCCTCGCTCTCCTTGGAAATCTCCTCGCTCTCCTTGGAAATCTGTTCGCTCTCCGTGGAAGTCACTTCCCTCTCCTTGGCAGGTTCGACGTGCGGTTCCTCATTGCTTGGAGGTTCCTCAGCTCTTGGTGAAATGGCGGGCGCCTCAGCGACTTCGGTGTCGTCCGCTGGATTCTCAGCCTGTGAGGCTATTATGTGCAAGGGAAACTCCGGTCCACCAATAACCTCGATTCCATCCATGTCATCATCCTCCATCTCGTGACCGTTTACCGGCTCCCGATCGGCTGGCCTGTCGCCGTTCAGAGCTGGCTCTGCTTGCTCATGCGCGAGGGCATCTTCACCGGCCTCAGCTACATCCGGCTCTCCATCAGGCTTGTCTTGCTCCGATGCATCTGCAGGCCGATAGGCCAGATCGGGGTGGCGAAACTTTCTGAACCAGGCGAGTCTGGTTTCATCCTCACGCGCATAATCGCGTGCTCGTGCATCTTGTATCGCTTTGAACTCGCTCTCCAACTCCTTGAGTTCGGCAGCTTTGGCTGCGTGCTGGTCTTTGAGCGCCTGGAGCTTGCGCAGAAGCTCCGACTGGGCGTGGAAATTGTCAAGCATCGCCGACTTGATCTCATCGCTCTTTGCGCGGTATTCATCCTCAAGAGCGCGGCTCTGCTGTTCACGATGCGCCCGCATTGATGCGAAGTAGTTTGCCTCAATCTCATCCCAGGTGGACTCGTCGACCACTGGGGGTGCCGACTCCATCTTGTATGACGAGGTGGGAGTGAAGAATGGCCTGGAACTTGTTAGTAAGAAGTTTAATGTGCTTAGGATATTCACCAGCCATGCTAGGCTACGTGCCCAGACTTCACGAACCTATTGGACGAGGGCTGAATAAGACCCTTTAGCCCATCGGAGCGATGCAGAGCTGAAAATGGTTTTCGCAAAGTTAGCGCGGGGTTGCGATACAGTGCCCAGAAGCCTCAGTTTGTCTGGTCGATGGAGGGAGAAAATGACTTTGGAAGATATAAGTTGGATCGGGGTCCTGATGAGGCGACGAGAAGGATTGCGTGTATATGGCTTACCATCGAAGGAAATGGAAGTCGCTAGGGAATAAAAACGCACGATAAGAGTCCCCGAGTCGGGAGCAGATGAAAGCTCAAGGACTGGAATGTGTTTGGATGGATGAGTAAGGTAGGAAGGGCGTTCAACGGACAACCTGAAGTAAATAATTGGAAGGTACCTTACCTTTAGGTATAAGGTCCGGTGATTCGATCCAGCGAATTGATGTGTGCTGCTGCAGCGAGCCGAATGCGATGGAGTCCCCCAAAACACGAGAAAAACGACGGTACCGGTATTGGCAATCTGCCTCGGTGCACCAGAGACTATCCACTCGCTCTATCGAGCGTTGGTGAGCTGGGCTGTGAGATGTTGTGCAGCCAACTTGACAAAGTCGAGAGCTAATTTAGGTAATTATTCCAGTGAAAAGGGGGCCTGATAGGGTGATTGGGAACACGATATCGAAGGTAGTTTCGGGACTGCTGTCTGCCCTTCTATAGAACCCTCAGTCAGCGTCAGTATTTCACTGAACATGGCCATAGTCGTTCACCAGGTCTTACCTTTTCTTTGTCCGATGGATGAAGAGGACTTGGAGGATTTGCTGCGATCTGAGTGCTGCGACACCGTCGTGGAACAGGGCACCAGGAAAGGAAGAGGCGCCCAGTAATGTTGGTGAGGTCCATGATACTGTGGGACCTACAGTCGCCGTGCCACGTGCTGGAATAGCGCTCGCTTCAGGCGCTAGACCCGCTGAGACCAAGCCCTTATTACTGCCGTCTGCTGTTATTGTTTCCGAGTACTGTACGTACAATACATACATATCAAGACTAACAAAGTTCCATGACAAAATCCCCTAGGGCCTAGATAGGTATCACTCATGCATTCCATCCTATGCTAGGATCAATGGAAGGAGCAATACATAGTTCCCGTCAGGCTTTCTGTTGTATATATCAAGCTATCTATCTCACTCTGTTGTCTGAACCAACAACGCAAAATGCCTGGGGGACGATCTCCCATCAGATCGCTGCCAGGAGCATTCCATTACGTCTACACGCCCAATCTCATCGCGTCAATATACGTTGATTAGGTTAAGAACTAAGGTAGACTATACGGTCCATGCAATGAGAAATAAGATACACGAATAAACTGTATGAACAGCGTCATGTCATGTCGAGAGGTTCGAGTTCTGTCCCCGCTAAGAAACCCGCCCCTGTCCTGCCAACAAGCCAAGCCAAGCCAACGCCAGAAAGCCCGAAATACCAGCTGTGTAACACGCTGACGCCGAGAAATTGTCGCACTCCATTCCTTGGGATAACAATAAAGAAACCTGACGCTGGACAACTGGTCCGCCTTCTTTTTCCTCGTTTTCCGCCACCGCAAATAACCAACCAAGCAACCTGCTCAACAACCAACCAACCAACAGTGCGCAACACGCGGAGCCTAGTACCGCGAATGCCGATTCGGGCTCGGCGAGAACGAGTTGTCGTAGGCGCTCGACTGGGCGTACGGGTCATCATGGTACACCGTAGCGCGGCGGTCCTCCTCCGGCAGCAACTCCTTGACCTCCCAGTTATTCATCCGAGTACCAACCGAGAACTCCAGATCCTCCTTAGTGATCGAGTCCCAGTACTTGTACACCATCATGACGGCCAGCAGGTTGCACGTCGTCGCGAAGAACAGGCCGTCGAGGTAATGACTAATAGCGTTGCAGAGGGGCGTGCTGAAGGCGTACAGTATCACCTGGCCCAAGACAAAAAAGAAGACACCAAACGCAATGTCGCCCAGCGGCCACCGGTCCTGCAGCGTGCGCGTCACGAGCAGGATTTGGAGTACCACGTACACAAATAGTTGGACGGCGTTGAGCAGGTACAGCACCACGAACAGCCCCACGGTGCGGGTCGGGCCTAACCCGGCCCAGGACATGAACGTGGCCAGGGCGACGAGGAAAGAGATGGCAAAGGCGGCGAACGAGCCACCGCGCAGCATCCACAACGACAACGGGGTCCCGTCTTCATATAACTGGAAGCCCACGAAGCCGTTGATCAGGAGGGATGTGATGAGCGCGGATGAAAGACCGGCCTGCACGGCGACGAAATACGGATACGGCGTCGAGCCCGGCGGTATCACGCCGGCGTCGATGCAGAGCGAGAGGAAGGTGAGGAGCATGTAGATGTAGAAGAAGGTGGTGATTTCCTTGCGACCTGGGGCAGAAAACCTGTCAGCAAAACCGTTCGTTCTACCCTACCCAACCTCCGGGGCATGGCATGGGGCATGCGTACCAACCGCCGTAAACTTCCCCCGCACATGCAACACCATGGTCACCGTCATGACCAGTGCAATGATGTGCATAGCACTCGCGGCGCCCTGGAAGATGATGGTGTTGGCCAGCTCAATGTTGCGCGCGAAACAGTCGGGCTCGATGCCCACGCCGCTGGCGATCGATGTTATAGGGCCTATCGAGGAACATAGCGGCAATGGTGCCATGCGGCAGATGTTGGTGAATTCCCCGAAGCCAGACATGGTGGGCGAAGGCGGGCGCGGGCGAGGCCGGTGAGGGCCGTTGTCGGGAACGTATAACCGTCTCGTCAAGGGGTGCTGGTACTTGTACGCGGCTTCCCCAAGACCGGAGGGTGATCGCGAATGAGTGGGGGTGGTGGTGTGTTTATCTCGGATCGAAGGAGGGATGGTCAGGCGAGGATGGGACTGAAGCGTGTCGTCACAAGATCTGGGTGTTGTACAATACCAGGGTGATCTGGCGGGATCACGACCGGGCGACTCGAGATCACCGGTAATTAGCTACTCTGAGCGAAGGAGGGGTTAACGAAAGTGGGATACAGCAAAGTCGAATAGAGGCTGGTTGCGAAGTCGTCATAAAGTTTGGGGCTGTCGGGCCATCCCAGCCCTGCGGTTGCTCCGCTGTTGGTGTTGCGCCTGGCGACGCTTTGGGAACGAAGGAAAGGAGTTGCTGGTTGCTGTGGAAAAAGGAGAGGCGGAGTCAGGCTCAGTCAGCTGCAGCAAGGAATCTTCCAGGTGTGGGTTTCCAAGACCCACTTTGGTACGAGGTATTCCTGCTCGTAACGTTACCCTTTTGAGTACCCGTACCTTACGAGATTTTGAATGTTCGTATTTCTAAATTTTGTCCATCCATTCTCCTCTCTCTTGTCTGCGACATTGCTTAAGACTCTCGATTGTCTTCTTCGAGTTCTCTCCAATATGCACCCATTGTTTATTACAATCCTTCTCTTGCCCTGCGAATATCCGAATCTTTTGAGATGGCTTGTGGGACCCGTCACTGCCAAAGCGGTGCGATGCACAACATCAGAAGTGTTTCGCCTAATTAGCCTGTGTCGGCGCTGACTGCCGTCATCCAATTGACTCTATGAATCCCACAGCGCAAATCCGATATTTCTTCCTGCTCGTTCGAAGTTTTCGGGGCTTCTGCAGCACGATACATCTGCAGGCCGGTGTATATGTCAGGAGTAGGAGCTGGAATCTGACGTCTTGACACCTGCAGCAATGCATGTGCGTATCTCGGACGAAGAAAACATTACAACAAATTCTGGTGCCAAGTACAGCTTTTCAACCGCACCGAGACAGAGCTCCTGCTTTGACTCCTTGCTCGGGAACCTGACACGCTACGACTCATACATGCATTGGACAGAGTCCTCACTCCCAGGGGTGATCGCCATCTCAAAAGGATGGGTTCGGCCAGCCAACAGCGGGCTCTCCACGGATAGGTACTACGCATCTCAGCTTCCGCTACAAATTAATCTGATATTGATGGCACCTTTTGGGCAGCGTATTCCACCAGGTAGGTCAATTGCGTTTTGAATCAACTATCTCCGTGGCCTACAGGTATTGACAGAAGAGCCAGTGAGTCTGCTCGGGCTTAGGCTCAATTTGATCCACATGCGCTGCTGTCATGGAATTGGCCTCTGGTCCCCAACAAAATGGTTTTAATCCATCGTAAGTACAGCCCGGAATCGCACCCTACCACTAAGCATGGCCTCTGTGAAGAACTGGTCAGTGACTGTGGGCGATAGTGGCTTCAATTCGGTGCAGAACTGGAAAGGAACGTACCGAAGGCCTCATTTGCCCTTTCAAGCGGGAACTTCTCAACCAGACAGTTCACCTCATGCAACTTGGAGAACTTGAGCGTCTCCTCCATGTCCAGAGAGTGCCCAGTTGGCCACGCCGTGACGGACAGTCCGTACTTAATCTATAAGAGGGGCGCCGTCAGCATAGATCTTCCCACCTCCGATGATCCAGGTCAGCTTACCATAAGGCCAGTATCGACAGGAACATCCCCAGGGACTGCCAAAGCGGTTAGATTCTGACATGGCTTCCTTTCCGGAGCGTCTTCACTCACGCGAGAGAATCAACAACTTCCCCAACGGCGCGAGCCCCTTCAAAAGCTTCGGCAGCTGCTGACCACCAGGGTTGGTCGACATGACGAGGGCCGCACCGCCGAGCGCCTTGAGTGCTTCACCGGGGTCGCCTTTGGACGAGTCGATGTACTCGTGAGCGCCCAGCTCGCGGGCAAACGGTTCCTTGTCGGCCCCGCGCGAGATGGCCACGACGCGGTACCCGAATTTGTTGGCGTACTGGATCCCCAGGTGGCCCAGCCCGCCGAGGCCTTCGACAGCTACCGTCTCGCCGGGGGAAATGTTTTGACGGCGAAGTGAGTTGAACATGGTTACCCCCGCGCAGAGAAAAGGTGCGTAATGTGCCGCGTCGATGCCATCGGGCACGGGGACGCCGGCTTCGGAGCGGACGAGGACGTACTCGGCGTCTGTGCTTGTGTTAGATGTTGTCATGGTGTTGGGGTGAGTGATGGGGGGGAGTGAGGTCCAGGACGTACATCCGCCGGGTCTGGTTGCTCCGGTTATGGCCTGGTTGTCACACATGTGGTAGATTCCTCGTCTGCAAGTTCCGCAGGTGCCTTTGCAGCTGGACTCGTCAGCCAACGGGCAACTTTTCTTACCAATTCAAGCTGCACTGAACACCCCCAAACTTGAACTCACCATCGTGGCCGCCGTGCCAGCCAGCGCCGATCTTATCGCCGACTTTCCAAGCCTCGACGCCTTCTCCAACAGCGGCAACTCGACCAATGACTTCGTGACCTGGGACGATGGGGCTGTACAAGGAAAGAGTTTGGGTTAACAATGTGACAGGTATCAGGGGTCGCGGCGACTTACAAGGCGGCTCCAAAGCTGTTGTGTTGACCAAACGTGTCCGAGTAGCAGACTCCGCAAGCCTCCACCTTGACAAGGACCTCGTTTTTGCCTGGGAGTTGCAGGGAAACTTCCTCGATGGTGAGAGGCGACCCGGCCGAGGTGAAGACGGCGCGTTTGTAGGTTTGCGGGAGTGTCATTGTGCTGTTTGGGTTCGTGGACGACTCGAATGGACGCTGGGAAGTCGAGAATGATACTGTTAAGACTATGGCTTGGTTGACTCAGTGTCTGGAAGATGTCTCTGATGACCGTCGAGGATCTGAGGAAGAATCTGTTCCTTTATACAATCCATGATGGGACTGATGTCGCCTTCAAGTTATCCTGCTTCAATTGTCCTTGGCCGTGTAAGTCGCCGTCACGACATGGATAATGGCCCCACTTGCCCGAAGGAGAATCCGGAGTCAACACAGCTGATTAGTATACGCTTCACTCCGGACCGCGGCAGCTTGATAACGGCATCGGGCGATGATTATGATGAGAAATCGTGGCAACACTAGGATCTCTTAAGTTTTTCCCGCAGTATCGAAGACGAACTTCCAATTCGATCCCTCATGAAAGCATGGAATGGATTACAGATGGCCCTGGAGATGTCAGCAGCTCAAGGCTTGCGTCTAAGAGCTACTAGCTAGGCCTTTGGATACACCCCTGACTCCGGAAACTCCGATGCGTCACCCAGCACCCATCTTGCAACGACGCTCCGGCTCGTTCGGGATCAACTTATAAACTCCCAAACGTCGTCACATTGAAAAATCGGAGTGCATCCGACCAACGCTCAGCATCGGAGTAGCTCCGGGTCAGCCAAATGCTGTTCACAAGCAGGCTCCGAATAGACACCTACCTACCTGACATAACGATGATTCTTTCCATCAACTTGTACAACAACGACGCCACCTGCAGTAAATAATTCATCTTCCTGAGTGGTACTGTACCTAGTACCGAGGAGTATACGTCCAAGAATCACCAAACCCCGGACTACCTCCGCGAAGCCACTCGAAGGAATTAAACGAATCGACCGAGAACGCGGCATCCATAGTCCCATTCAACAAATCCTGCAGTCCCGCACCCTCAAAGCCGGACATGGAGCCTGAGCCGAACAAGACCGGGACTGCATCAGACGCTCCGGCCTGCCATACCAGCCCTCCTTCTCCCCCAGCACCATCGACAATGACATGCATGCCACCTTGATTCGCATTCGCACCCGCAACTTGAACAAGCCCATCTTCATACTTCCTACCAACACCACCACCACTACCATCACCATGAAGAAGATGATCAACCACCGCCTCCACCTTCCCCATCAAATCCCTCACAACCCTCGCCGCCCTTGTAGCCACCGCAAAATGCCTCCCAAACACCTCAAACGACTCAACAGCCTGCCCAATGGCAGTCCGTGCGGCTGCCGCCACAGACGGCTCAAAACTTGAACCTGAAGACCGTGGTGCATGTGGGTAGGCAAGGACGAAGCCGATGAGTGTGATGGCACAGTTCCATTGCCACTGGAAGGCCTCGTTCCAGCGCTCGAGGAGGTCATCCATCTTGTTATTGTTGCTGTTGTTGTTGCTGTTGTTGTTGCTGTTGTTGCGCGGGAGGAGGATCTGGTGGGTGATTTGTGTCAGGGTGATGGCGTGCCGGGCGCAGAGGAGGGCACATTCCCTCGCCCTGGGTGTGGGTGTGGGTATGGGTGTCACCGGGGCATGATGGGGGTTGGGATTGGTTTGACTTTGCGGGGGGGTAGAGGTGGGAGTGGGAGTGGAAAAGGAGATGAGCGGCCGGTAGAGGATGACACAGAGGTTGTGGTAGAGCAGCTCCAGGACCAGGCGCTGCAGCTGCAGCCAGCGGGGGGCGAATGGTTCGACGGTCAGGGTGATCCCTTCCGGGTGCAGGCATGAATCGGTGGAGAATGGGTGGTCGTTGTCTCGCTGCCGCTTGTTTCGCAATCCCTCGGGGACGTTACCCGCCCAGACGTCGAGCGTCTCCGCCATGCGGGATCGCAGGTACACCGCACACCGCTCCCGGACTACCGGGTCGTCATGGATATTACCTCCACCATCACCACCCCGCCCGCACTCCCTATAAAAACCCCCATAAACCTCCCTCACCCCCAGCACCAACCGCGTATTCCACACGGTATAACTCAACCACGTCACCCCCCCTCCAACCACAACCGCCGACCCAGACGCGTCCATCGCTAGCTGGTAATCATCATCCGGCAGTGGACAACTGCACTCTTCCAAAGTACCCGCCCACGGCCTGCCCAACTTCAGACACGTCCTACTCTCAAGCGCATACAGCGTCCACCAGATCCTTTTCCGCAGCTCCCGTTCGGCGCGGGGCAGGTCGTCTGTGGGGGAGGGTTCGAGGTGTAGACCCAAAATGTGTGCCGTGCGGATTGCGAGGGCGAGCGTGCTGTGCGCCATGTTCTGAAACGACCCGCAGCACAGGTAGATGGCGGAGAAGATGTGGCATTGGACGGTGGTCAGGGACGGGGTTTCGAGTTGCGCGAGGAGAAGGGTTTGGCAGCGCTGGTAGTGAAAGCGGCCGGCTACGGCTACGGCGATCATGGTATTGGTACTGGTATTGGTGGGGGATGTTTCTGGGTTGCTGCTTGGGCCGGGATCAGGGGGGGAGGGGTTGTTGGTGGTGGTGGTGGTGGTGGTGGTGTGGTTTGGAGGTGGTGGGGGGTACTCTGACAGCATGCACAGGGCAAGGATGATATCGACCAGCGCAGAGTGCTTCCGTGTGCCCGTGCCGGCGGGGCCCGGGCCGGTCCAGAGGGATTTGTAGTGCGCTCTGAACTTGGCCTCGTCGATGATCTGGAAGGTGCAGTGGTAGGACTGCCAGAAGAGGTTGAGGAAGTATTCCTCTTCCATGGCGGTCAGGGAGTGGCTTGGAGCAGCATGGCAGCTTTCAACATCAGGGGCGGGTTGTTGCCCACATAATCCAGTCAGGGGCTGGCCTGCATGTGTGGGACGAGCTGCGGCATCGAGGCTGGACTCGGAGTCGTTTGCGAATACCTTGTTGGCTGCGCCAAAGTTGATGGTGTGTTCGGCGGGCGGGTGGTCGAGGAAGGCGGCCAGGTGGGAGGTGATGCGGCCGACGAAATAGAAGAGGGATGATGGTCCGAACCATTGTTTTTCGGGCATTTGGCCGTTGGTGGTGAAGAATCCGGCAAGGGGAGGGTGTCTGTTACCGGAACCTTGCCCTGACATATCATCGTGATCGGTTTGTATCACTGGGGCTGACACGGCTGCAGACTCGACCGAGTGTTCCACTCGTGCTGTTGACACGGCGGTCTCAGCCGTGCTCTCTCGCAGCTCAACATCCCTTTCCAGCTCCTGGATGCGACGCTTCAGACGCTCAATTTCCCTTGAGTGCTACTCCATCAGCAGGTGACTACGATGTGTTATGACATGTCCGCAAGTGGCAGTATGGATTGGAAGCGGCATAAGTAGGGAGGTATGTTGATCGTGTCCGGGGCATAGGAAGCAGCTCTTACCTATAGGCATGAGGCAGGGAACGGATGTCGTCGGCATTGCTCGTGCGGCACTGGTCACTGGCACCCCGGCTTCTGCAGTTGCGGCAAGGCTGTTCATCGTCACACTTGATGCGGTGCACACGACAGCGATCGCAGGCCCGGCTGACCTGGCTTCGTTTAGGCTTGCGTCGGTCTGACGATGCCGATGAGCTGTGGAGCCTGTCTGTGGCTGGCATGTTGAGAGACTCAGGTTGCTCCTACATGCAAATACGGCGCTGACTTGATCCACCCTGGTGGTCCTTTTGAGACGGTTCGATGTGTTGCGGTCCTCCGGCCAAAGGACGTTGCGGCGGCGCCCGAGATACGGCCGTTGTGCATAAAACCGGACATGAGGGGTAGCTCCGAGCGCCGGCTGACATGCAGGACCAACTTAGACTGGAACATACTTCCTAGGTAAACCCCAAAACAACATCAACACAGTCATTGAGCCCGCTGCTATAACGGCCCCGGGGCTTGGGACATGATCGGACTCTAGTAATTTCCATACATGTACAATACCCAGGTATCTCAAAGGACTCGAGGCCCAGGCCATCACCCCCTCGGTGGGGTGTCCTTCATCAACCACCCCATCATCGCCTCGGGATACCTCGTCCCATGCACCTCGGCCTCTTCAACCACCTCTCTAATCTCCCTCTCCTCCTCCTCCGTCATCACCAAATAAACCTCATTCGCCCCCAAGTTCTCCTCCAAATACTTCACCTTCTTCGTGCCCGGAATAGCAAAAACCCCCTCCTGCTTCATCACCCACGCAAGCGTCAGCTGGGCCGGCGTACACCCCTTCCTCTCCGCAATCCCCTTCAACCTCTCCACGAGCTTCAAATTCCTTGGGAAATTCTCGGCCGAAAACCGTGGCGCAGCACGCCGGTAATCGCCCTCTTCAAAGTCGTCGGGCGACTTGTACTGGCCCGTCAGCATGCCCCGGCCGAGAGGCGAGTAGGCCACGATGGCGATGCCCAGGTCGCGGCAGGTTCTGGCCAGGTCACCCATGGCGGGTTGCTCGATTTCTAGGGAGAAGGGGCTGTACTCGATCTGGTAGGCGTGGATGGGGAAGATTTTGGATGCGCGGCGCAACGTGTCGGCGCCGCATTCGCTGATGCCGAGGTACCGGACTTGGCCGGAGCTGACAAATTGTGGGTGGTGTGTCAGTAGTGGTGGGAATTGAGGGTGGAAGTTTAGGCAAGGTCAGGTAGGGGGTGGACGACGTACAGCACTAATTCCTTCATGGTCTCGACGATGTCTTCGATTGGGGTCTTGCCGCTGATGCGGTGGCTTTTAGAGACGCTCCCAGTCAGCACCAATGCCCACATGGAAATGGCAATGAGGGCTTATGCCTCCTTTCCGGTCTGAAATGTCGACATGAACATACCAGTACAACAGGTCGATGTAATCAGTCCTGAGCCGTCGCAAGCTCTCTTTTACCGTGTCCCGGATATACTCAGGATCATTCCTAATCTCCCTCGTGCCGTCCGGTCTTACGTAGCTACCAAATTTCGTAGCAAGGAAGATCTGCAGGAACCATCCCAGTGTCAGCAGCATTCAAATCACTCTCATTGAACATTGGGCATGCCGACACGAACGGACGTACGTCGCTGCGCTTCTCCGTCCGCTCAAACCACCTCCCGACAAGCTCCTCGCTGTCTCCGTACATGTTGGCCGAGTCCCAATGCACACAGCCCAGCTCGTGGGCCCGGTCAAGGAACTTGAACCGTTCCTCGTCCGGCGGAAGGGTGCCGTAGAAGGCTTGAGAGTACAAGTCAGCAATGCATCACCGCCCGTTTGGGGAATTTACTAGTACTCACTGCTCAACCCCATGAGCCCAAGGCCTAGAATGGGGATGGTTGGGCCATCTCGGCCTAGCTGGCGAGTAGGCATGTTCTGGGTCACTGTGGGCGACATATTATTGGAGAATATACAATACGGACCATGTGAAACTGGTTGTAAATTCCGGAGCAGTGCCAGTTAGACTACGCGTGTCCTCATTATGTTGAGTGCCCTCATCTTTGTACCGGGCGCACCGCCGGCCATGATTCACCACTGCTGAGAGCCGTGATGCGGAGGTATCCGGAGTTGCCGGAGTTGAGATTCCTTGTTTCCGAGCCGGAAGATCCGTCACTACAGTAATTCTGGAACCAATTCAGCGGTGAGGCCCACCCGCATAAAGGTAACTGGAGATAGTACTTCGTAGTTCGTACCGATGGTGCGATGTGCTAATGCAGTGCCGGTGCTAGTGCCGGCGCCCCGTGGAATTTAGGTCGGGCCCGATTTTCGGCAGCAACTGGGGAGCGGCTTACACGGCGCTCATTAGGGGTTTGGGATTGTTGGAATTGCCGCAAGTTGACCACCTGGCAGCAATTGCGCAAGAAGACTGCTACATAACATGTGGCTGGCATTGATGGGTACCTGGGTTCCCTAGAAGTTACATGAGTGCCATCGGCGGCTCTCTCTCCGAAGCTGGTGTGGCCGTGGTTCCCGTGAAGGGTCCTGGCTCAGAGTCAACCCCGCCAATTGTTAACATCATGATGAGACGGATTCTGAAGGGAGCATCAAGTGACCACGTAGGATAGGGAATTAGGAGTCAACCGGCACTCATTCTGTGTACATGTATGGTACCTGCAATAGATACCGGTACCATGATTAAGGTTAACTGCAAGCACCTGCTCTGAGAGAAACAGAGTGGGCAATGAATTTACTTTTCAAGTGCGGTGCCTGATTTCGAGCCCCGTGTGACATTTTGACATGATGTCAGTGGCGTGCAACTCGTTCTGCTTGGCATTTGATGTTCGATTGCCGAGCAAACCATTTTACGTCGAGTGGGGCCCACTGGCTATGTACTGCTGTGGAAGCAGCCCTTCATGACGGGACAATGATCGAAGAAACAGCCTTGACAACATGGAACTACAGTAAGTCATAACCAGCCGTGCTGCCCACGTGCCTTTTCAACTCCAATCCCACCGCACAGCACAGGAAACCCAGGAGGAGCACTCTCTGCCGATCAGTGGGAGACGGGAATCGTGATATTCTCCTTACACAGTACATTACTTGCGTACCTTACCCGTCAACTGATGAAGTCTTGCAATAAAGTCGGGCCTTCCTGACGATAGGTCTGCAGTGGGTGAGGGAATCTCAACTCGTAGACAGCCAAGTATGAGAAGCCTTGACATTGGAGTCCTCTTGTTTTTAAAGGTCGCAAAACACAGAGCAACTTGAAGTGTTCTATGTCTAGGTCGAGGTACACCCGGATCCAGCCAGTGCATCTGTTTAAAACGTCGCCTGCCTCACGTAGCATGACCAGCCTCGCCAGCCAAGCTAAAGCAACCAGCCCTAGTCTTTGTACGGGGCTTCATCCCCTCTCACAAAAGGGATCCGATACGTAAGAAACTTGGGGAGAGCCTTCAGGCCAACCTGGTGTGAGCCGACCTTGCCGTCCTCGAAGAAGAAGCAGCTCAACAGAGTCCCGAGGATGACGGCGTCCTGGACCAGGTGAATCTGTCTCTTCAACAACTCACGAGTCTCCTCAGGCATGCCATCAAACATCTCATTCCAAAACGCCCGTTCCGCACCCTCGAATTCATCAGGCATCCAAAACTCCCCTCCCGTATATTCGCCTGCGATGGTGTGAATGCGCCCGAACCCGACTCCAAACGGCATTGGAGTAGACAGCTCCCAGTCGATCAACCCAGTAACTTGGCACTCCTCATCAATCAGCACATTCACTTCATTCAGATCGTAATGTGCAACCCAAAGCGGGAGTTTCTTCAACTCCTCCAGCCTGCCTAGAAAACCCAGTAACTGCCCCCGGTACGGCTGGACCTCCTCCAACCCCGACGCCAAGATCGCCTCTATATGCCCCCTTATCTTCCCATCAATCGCCTCTATATGCCCCCTTATCTTCCCATCAATCGCCTCTATATGCCCCCTTATCTTCCCATCAACCGCCTCATCACTCGTCTCCTTAACCCACCCCCTCGCAAACACCCTCCCAAGCGACTTGTTTATCGCAATCCTGCCTTCACCACCCTTGCCCGCAACACCATGCACCCACATCTTCCCAGGTAAACGCGTCATGGAGTAAGCCCAGACACGCGCGCTGAGAAGCTCTTCGTCTTCCAAAGCCATGATCTCGGGCACGACAGGGCCTAGCGCTTGTCTTGCGATCCTGAACGCGTCCAGGTCGAGTGGCTCGGTGCGGTACTGCAGGACTACATCACGGCCGTCGGCTAGGGTTAGGAAGAAGGTCCGGCTGAACATGCCTTGCATAGGGGGTCTGTCGACGCGCTTGACGTTGGTGTTAAGATGTGACGGGATGAGCTTCTTGGCCCATTTGACTTGCTTGTTTGGGGTGTCGAGGAGCTTGTGGAGGTCTCTGTCGGAGGATATTGGGGGCATCGTGGACTGTAGAGTGGTTGTAATGGGATGTTGGGATGGTGTCTAGTAGGACTGTCTCAGGTGAAAACCAAAACATTCACGAGTTTGAACCTGTGGGTGGTCTATAAGGGGAGTTGGATGTCAACATAGGGGTAGCCCGCGTTGCTGTAAACAGCGGTCTGGGAGCGTGAACCAACATGCATCCAGTACAGTATTTCTCTGTGATCAACACACGGACAGCTGTACAGTACAGCCAGCAGTGTGTTTATGCCTGAATACAAGGTGTCTAGAATTCATATGAGCCAAATACATTGGTATATGTCGGCTATTGCTCTACGTAAGTTACCTGGACTTGATATGTCAGTTGTTCGAGTGCTTGTATGTACTAGTATACTGCTCCTTGCGGGACTATGTGAGGCTGGCATATCGAACTGTCAAGAGTAAGTATAATTTATGTACCGTACCTGAGTAACGTTAGGTAACTTACATGATGTCAAGGACAGACCAGTTCCAGATGTCAGGGACTTGTACGGAGGTATTCGTATTGTTTATACGAAGTACAAATCACTTTCTTGACCTGACATGGATTGAAGGAACGAAACCGCCCTCTTGGTTCCGTGACCAGAAGACGGTTGTTTAATTCTGCGGGCCGTCCAACTGTTTCAAGGCCGCCCAACTGCAGTTCCAGCGACCCAAAGAAAGTTCGCTACAGAAGGGACTTCAGAACTTGAGAAGGAAGGTGGAGCGCGTGGGCCAACAGCGGGCAATCTTAGACCTGATTGGCTGCCAGGTGCAAGCGGGCAGTTACCCCACCTTGGCGCCACTAACGTCGTCGGGAACCGGATATTGGACGGCAGGGATCAGTGGTCAACACTACATCATCATGCCTGCGCATCCTTTCCAGATCATGGCTTCTGAATTGCGATCTCTGCTCTCTCCCATGGACAACCCTCGCTTTCGATTATCGGGAATTGGACATTTTACTGCAAAAGTGTATACTCCCTGCTCGACTCGGCTTATTTCCACTGAGTTTTTGTGTGGACTCAATCCTTGAGTATTGTACATACCTTCCGGGTTGTCGCATTGATTCCGATTCTCGAATTCCCTCCCAGACCCTCTCACCACGATAGCGAACTGCCAATTATCGGATCATCGTTTGCGCCGTTTTGCGTCTAAGCTTTCGACCGCTGCACTTGGAGACAGTCACGTTGCCTAATAGACCGACGAGTGTTGGCTCCTGTCGCAACCCGAATAAACCGTGCCTACGCCGCTGCTCAGACGCAACAACTGGGCCAAGAAGACCGATCATCAGACTCAGGCCCGACTGGCTGTTCGTTGTTGTCTTCCTAGGTCCTCCTGTCGTGTGCTCTCGAGACGTGCGCACTCCAACAAGAGTTCCGCCGAGTACGAATTGCGAAGCTCTCGAGAGAAAGTCCAACCACCACGCGGCATAAGATCAATTATAATAATGGGGGTGATATGATTCAGGCGCTGGTACGTGCTCCCTTCCGCATCCGTCGTCTCTCTGCATCTCTCGCATCGTTCTCTCCCCTCCGTCTTCTGTTTTGGGGTTAGAGACGCCTGCCTCAAAACTCCCTTTGTCCCCATCCAAAGTTCGCCCCTTCTCCGTTGCTGCACCCGACCCGCGCAGGGAGCACCTTTCCAACATGCCCTGTCTGCCATGTCCGTCATGGAACTGCCCTTCGAGTCTCGCCGTCACTCATCCCCACCAGACCGACCCATCCACAGGCGGTCATCTTCACTTTCGGCTGCTGCCGCATTGCAATTCGTTTCCTGCCAACACCGAGCAGTAGCCGGCCACACGCTGCAGCCCCTATCCGCCTATAGCATCCTCCTCAGGCCCGAACTGTTCGACATCCAAGGCCTCCCCTCTCCCTTCATGCCCGGCTGCTGTGTGTTGATGTCCATCTTATCCTATTCTACCTACTTCTCTGCCTTTTTCTTACCTCCCTCGATGTAGTCCGCTGCGCTGCCTGTCCCCATCTTAGCATTCCGCCCGCATGTCCTCTTGTTTGGGCGCCTTCTCTAACCAGGACGCCATGCCTTCTACAGGTCCGGAGCACGACCGACTACACCCCCAACCATATTTTTTATCCGGCCACGGCTCCGTCTATTACTCCCCGAGACACGCGGCCAATCTCAATTCCTCAACATTCCCAGCATCGCTGATCCAACCCCGCCAACGCCGCCCGCACTCGATCCACATTGTCTCGTACCCGCCCGGCTTTGTGCCTCCCGATCTGCGCCCCGCCCAGCAGAGAACGCATAGATCGAGGTTTGCGGATCGCGAGGCTCAGGAGAGGAACAGGTCCCGGAAGCAAGAGAAGGAACGGAAAAGGGCAGAAAGGGAGCGGAACAAAGAGAAGGAAAAGAGGCGATCCCTACGTTCCAATCAGCCTGGTAGGAACGGTGACAAACTTGGGAGAGTTCTCGACAAGATCCTCGCTGCTTTCTCGATTACCCCTAAACCACGCCCGCACGTTTTTACGGATTCGGCTCCACAGACGCCGTCTCGGCCATCGAGTTTCATTAGCTTTGCTCGAAGGCTGTCTCGAATCGAACCGACAGTAGTCGACGGACCCGCCGTCGTGAACCCCGTTTCCGAGCTGCCCAACATGGCCGCTGAACCCGTCCCCCGCCCGACAGCCCCGAGCGCAGTGCCCGCATCTAACAGGAATAGCATAATATCAATCCGATCAGGGAAGACATCGGCGAGCTCAACCGTATCCGAGATCCAGAAGCCAGTAGCATCCGGCAGTGGTGTGTCGTGCTCTATCCTGCTAGCAGAGCCTAATGTGTTCCTACACGGTTTCGACCATGACAGCCGCGCTCGCCGCGAGGGCCTACCGTCAAGTGCCCTGCTCCGAGGGAAGCTGCAGCTGAATGTGTCCAAAAATGTCAAGATCAAGTCTGTGACACTGAAGCTGGTCGGCAAAGCAAGGACGGAATGGCCCGAAGGGATACCGCCCCTGAAAACGGAAACGTGTGAGGAGCAGACCCTGCGTGCCCAGTCGCTCGTCTTCTTTCATGCAATGCACCAGGGCATGTGGGAAACAGAGTATGGCAGCCAGTGCACTTTCACCCTCAAGGGGGGTAGCACTCACTCCGGCCTCATGAACTCTCCGTACCCGAGCCAGTCCAACACATCATTGCATGTCCTCGGCAAGGGGCGTGCTAGCACTCTCACCGCCAAGGAGCTCAAGCGGCTATCTTTACAGTCCGTCAATTCCCGCAGTTTCGGCAAGGGCGACTCTCCACTCGCCCACCAGGTCCAGGCGAAGGGATACAAGACTTTCCCTCCCGGTACCTACGAATACGCATTCGAGCTTCCCATTGACCATAATCAGCTGGAAACGGCAAAACTCCAGTACGGATCCGTCCGGTGGGAGCTCCAGACCACGGTCGAGCGGGCGGGCGCCTTCAAGCCCAACCTCCACGGGGCAAGGGAAATCTCGCTCGTCCGTCTTCCAGACCAGATGTCGCTGGAGACTACCGAGCCCATCTCGATCAGCCGGCACTGGGAGGATCAACTACATTACGACATTGTAATCTCGGGCAAGAGTTTCCCCATTGGAGGGAAGATCCCTATCGCATTCAAACTTACACCACTCGCCAAGGTGCAGATTCACAAACTCAAGGTGTTTGTGACGGAGAGCATCGAGTATTGGACCAATGATCGGCACGTGACGCGCAAGGACCCCGGTCGTAAGCTGCTCCTGCTTGAGAAGACGGCGGGAAAGCCGCTGGACAAGCAGTTTGCGGCGAGCGAGATCCGTGTGCTGTGCGGTGGCGAACTGGAGCCGGATCAGCGGGAGGCGGCGCGGCGGACGGCAGCTAGGCGCAGGATGAGAGAGGCTGTTAGGACACGCGGTGCCCCGGCGCCGTTACCGGATCCCAGCGACAATATACTTGGGGATTTGGATCTTGGGCTGGAGAGTTTCTGGGGGAGCACCGAGATTGAGATGAACGTGCAGCTGCCTACGTGTGAAGCTATGGCAAGAGATAAGACACTCCGGCTGCATCCGGACTGTAGTTGGAAGAATGTCAATGTCTTTCACTGGATCAAGGTTTGTTATTTCTCACACATTCTGACTGGCGTTTAGCTCAGACTGACTAACGACCGTCCTTAGATCGTCATGCGCATCTCCCGCGCAGACCCGGACGACCCAGCCGGAAAACGCCGCCGCCATTTTGAGATTAGCATCGACAGTCCGTTTACCGTCCTAAACTGCCGCGCTACCCAGGCCAATACTCTCCTCCCGCAGTACAACGGCCACGATGGCCCCCTTGCTTCTGAGCAGCAACGGCCACAAATGTCGTGTGGCTGTCCGGATGCGCAACCGGTGGTGGATCAGGGCCCGTCCGGAACCGGGATTTACATAGCCATGGTTGAAGAGGACGTCATCACGCCGGGCGGTACTCGGCTGCGGCTTAGTGATCGCCCCGGCCCGTCTCGTGCGCCTAGTCAGGCTTCTCAACCGCCGGGGCAAAACGATTCATCCAGCCAGAGGCGGGGTCAAGCATCATCATCATCATCGCTGAGTCCCTACGAACGAGACCGCCCGATTCATTTGCTTAGGTACCCTTCGCATAACCCGCCCGCGTTTGATGCGGATGAACCACCGCCCCCGCTGGCCCCGCTGCAAACGGAGGTCATGACACCCCCGCCGCAGTATGATGCTGTTATTGGCACGCCGAGTGTGGATGGGTTGGCGGATTATTTTGCGAGATTGGCGGCGTATGAGAATATGGCAACGGCACAGAGACGCTCGCCGATGGCCATGTCTGCCATGGCCATGTCTGGAGAGAACCCAGGTGAGGGTGATATGGCGCCAGGTTCTAGCGAGGCGATTGGTGTTGGTGTTGGTGTTGGTGTTGGTGTTGATGGGGTGGTGGGAGATCCCTTTAGCAGCGCGGCAGCTGGAGGAGGAGGAGGAGGAGGAGGAGAGACAATTCTACCTGATGATAATAACTCCTCGGATAGTGCTGATGAGGACGATTATGAGCGCCCGCATCGCAGGGGACGGGTCAACGTGCCCAATCCGAGGACTCCTGGTGGCAGGCTGGTGCCGAGCAGGAGTTTGGAGATTGAGAGGCCGGTTGTCAGGTTGGATATGAGTGAGGTCTTGAGACGGAGGTGGGGTGGCAATGGCAATGAGAGGGGATAATAGACGTCTCACGGCGGGAGGCAGTCCCCATGGCATATCAGCAACATTACCACTATCCCAACGGCAGGCTGCCCAGGACTCGACCCCGACTGTGACACGTTAGATGGGGGTTTATTGATAAGAGGTGGTTGGCAGGGGTTATCGCTCTGATGGAATGGTTGTGATGGGATAGTACTGTGGGGCATGGCATGGACACTGACTCAGAGCCCTGATGGTGTTGGTTGTTGGTGCCGGTTGATGTTGGTGATGACTGAATGAATGACAGGCAGGCAAGGCAAGGCAAGGCCTGCTACACATGGGATACCGGATGGGATATGGGATCATGGAATGGACAATGGACAGGACAATGGACACGAGTGATGCAATGCAATAATACCCCGGAATCGGATTGGTACCCCAGAGTTCGCGGCGGCATGGGGCAAGGAAGGTTTGATGGCGGATGAGATTGAGATGGGCGATGATGATGCACACCACGGCGTTTGGGGAGTTCGCATACCTGTGTGGAAGGGGGCACGAGAACAGACCCCTACGGACACTACAGAGTACATGCAGTTAGGCTTTACCATCGACGAGCCACCAGTGCGTGTATAGAGTCAAGGAGCATTGCTTATACCTACCTACACTGTTCCACCACTCAGTGTCCCACTCAGCATAAACACTCGCCGTAACTATTTAATCAGGAGGGTGTCTGGTGATATGCCTGCCTTCATGTTACCGTGCACGTGCTCCCCACCCATCCAACATCAACATCAGCATCACGACTCGATGGTTGCACCCCAGAGTTGGCTCTTACCCGCTGCGACTCAGGTCTTCTGAGGTCCACAACTGCCATTGGCATCAAATAAGCTACTAATATGTTACCTGAGATATGCCTAGTCTCCGGGTAGGTATATTGAAAAACCCAAGCTGCGAAGAGCGGCGGATGCTCTCGTTCACAACTTGCAAGAGCAAGGACCCAACGTCCAGTTGCAAAACCCAAGCAGCAGTACCGCGACAGGCCGGCAACATTGTATATACAACAATTTCTAGATGTTTTTCGGTTTTTATTTTCCATTAGCTATCTAGCGGCCTGGTCTCATGCCGTAGGTAGTAGACACCTTGGGAGATTGTGATGATGACCGCCTGGCACAGAGGAGTGACCCCGTCCGCCAAGTGTGAGCGTTTCCAGACTCAGGCAGTTAAACAGGGTAACAACCTCTTCATGACACCCACCCACCCTGCTGCTGCGGCAAATCTCAACGTTCCATTCAAGTTGCGATTGTGTCATCCCATCACGTCTGCTCCAGCCCGACATATCATGGTCAACTCAACTGCTAGACTCGAGCTCAAACAAGGACGCAACTTGAACATCCTCGGATTAACCGCCTTCCCATCGCCCACAGCAATCGTTCGCCAACGCAACTCAAACCTCCTAGGTTCCGTCCGTCTAACCCCCATCTTGTCTGGGAAGAAGAGGAAAATAAAACCCTCCCAGCATCCCATAACCGATCCGCTTACCAGTTCCCCCAGCCACAAACTCTGTAAACCGGTGCCCGAAACAAAAAATAAAAGCCCATCCGTCTAAGACGAGACCACTGCGCCGATCAGAATGCAACGCGTGAATGTTCCTGTCAATTAGGGCCAAACCACGGGCCTGCCCTTGTCCGATTGGGCAATAGTACGCACCATTTGTGTGGACATCCGATAATCCCCAAACGCCAAACCAATGCATATGCAATCGCACAATTCACATAATTAACTACTTATACATGTGCCTCAAGCCTGAATGCCCTGCCGCAATAGAACCCCAATCAATGGCGACTCGAATAAGACATGGCAGGGAGGCCTGTGTGGCGGGGAGGGTATGGCTGCCGTGCTTGCGGGTACGGTGCTGCAGCATGTTGACCGCCTGGAGCTGGCCGACTTCGATCCGTGACGGTCATGGCGAACTCGGGAAGAATTCCCGTGCGGTACTCGTTCCTCTTGCCCAGCGGCTGGTAGTGCATCTGGTTGGGCAGCACCGTGTTCGGCAAATGGTACTGCTCGAGAAATGCTGATGGGGGCGGATAGAGCAGCGTGCTGACGTGCCGGACAGGCCTGTACGGGCTGTTTCGCTGCTGCAGATAGACAGAGGGAGAGTGCGAGATGGGCGTGTGTAAGCCGCTCGCGCCGCCTGCGTTCCCAATAGGGGTGGCCATGTGGTGGAGGAAGGGGTCGATCAGCGGAGAAGAATTGGCATAGGATACGTTCGACGAGAAGGCGTTCTGAGGCGACAGGCGTTTTGTCGGAGTACCGTAGCTAACAGGGGGGAAACTCGTAGTCGGCGTAACGGTCCCACACGTTGCCGGGGTTGACTGCGGAGGTGTGTAGGTCGTCGTGGGGAAGACAGTCGACATTGCTCGGATACCCGGGCCAATGGGTGGCAATGACAGCGAGGGCTGCGCTGGTGCATACCCAGGTGGTCCGTACGGCTGAGGCTGGCTGACGGGGACGGCAGCGGCGGTAGCTTGAGCCGTGTTTAGCGTCAAGCTCGGCACCGATAACCGCCCTTGTTCCAGGGCCGCGGCGGGCACAGCACGCTGCTGGCCCGGATCATACTTGGCCGGATGCTGGGAAGCAAGCTGGGCCTGTGAAGCAGTTGCCAGGTGTTGGCGAAGGGCCTGGGATTGCTGCCCGGATGACTTCACTTGTTCAGAGGGGGGTGCCCGGCTTACTCTCTTAGCGGGATGTTCGGCAGAGTCTCCGTGATCCGGGGAACTACGCTTTCTGAGCGAAAAGTGTGGCTCCGGCTTCAGGGCCAGTGGGGAAACCGCATTGCTTCCCGCGTACGGTGGGGGCCAACCGTGTGCAGGACTTCCGTTGGAGACCGGGCCTGGGCTGGGTGAGAGCTTGCTGGTAGCGGGACCCGTCGGAGAGGGCAATGGGGAAACAAATCGACCAGTGGTGGGGGATGGGATGAGGAGCGGAGACGGCGAAGATGACACAGCTTGTCGGGCCAGCTCAAGGTATCGCCAGAAACCTGCTAACTTGTCGAGCCATTGTTCCCACTCGGCCTCGGTAACCAAGAGGCTATACCGCATATTACTGAGGAACTCAACCTCCATGACGTGGATCTCGGTGACCGGGATGCCAGACACATCGGCCCAAGTCTTGTTCGTATAGGTGTTATCATCCAGGAATTTGTTGCCAAGCATGAGGGCCACTGTGAGTAACCGGAATTCACTGCCCGGCCGCCCCTTGACATTCGGATTCGTCATTTTGAGCCGGTAGATGTAGAGCAGGGCGAGTACCGCGACATTCTGCGTGACTTGAGTGGTCGTGAGCATATTTAGAACCCACTTTTTGAAATGCTGGCTGGCAGAGGCGCCTGGCGGTAGGGGTTGAACCGCAGTGTTTAAGGGAAGCGTTTGCATTTTCCCCGCCTTGTCAAGAACTTTTGTGGTTTGGAACCAGAGCAGTGCAGTAACTTGGGCCAGGAGATCGGCCAGATTCCCCCCATTCGGGCTGATGCGCTCTGGAATGTTCAGGCTGTGTAGCGTCATCTTTGCATCTTCACCCTGCTCCTCGTCAGCTGCGGCGCTCGCCGAGGTCGGGGTCCAAGACTGCACGGTTTGTCGCGACACCTGCTGCCGCAACTGGGCGACGGGCAATTCGCTGGGCGGGGCAGCGGATCGAGTGCCTGCAGCCGGCATGGCCTGGGTATGGTTCGTATGGTTCGCTGCTGCTGTGGGGTATCGCGAGGTCAGATTGAAGGTTTGCTCGTTCGGGGTTGGTCGTTCGTTCAGAGCTGGCCGCCACCGATCTGACTGCGGCATGCCAGGTACACATGCAGAAGATTGGCAGACGTGGTAATTCTCGCACGAGGCCATGTGCGGCACCTCATACTTTGTGCCCATGTTTTCGTCGGTAGGCGGCGTACAAAGACCACTCGGGCGACTACACCAGCGCCGCGATGCGGTTACCGGCGACGGGGGCGACGGGAAGAGGGTGAGCGCCGGGGTCGGAATCGAGATCGGGCTGGCACGGATGCCTGTCGGATACATTGGGTAAGGTTGCAAGCGGGATGCGCAGGGCCTGGAAGGAAGAAGAAGAGCAATCCTCGAAGAAAAATCGCCGAACAAGCCAATCTGCCAGGCAGGCAGGCGCCTACCACCCGCAAAATTCGAGCAGATTCAGGCAACGAATTTTGAGTACGGGACCCTGTCCTCCTGCCGTCCACCTGACGCAGCTGGATTGTGTTCTCAGAGCCGGAAGGTGCAGTCGGGAAACGAGCGAGGCTGGGCGTGCCTTCCCAATGCCTATCTCTGTTCAAACTCCAACTCCTGGTCTCTGTTTCTGTCCCATTTGCACCCCGTTTGGAAGTCCACGACCCTGCGGTGTTCGCGGTTTTAACTGCTTCGTGTCAGGCACTGTTGAGGGCGAATCGTCTCCTGAAATCGACTCCCTATTCCGCCGTGTGCTAGCAGTCTTAGCATGGCACAATTCGCTTCCACTGAAGCATGCTATGACTTACCGAACTGTCAACCTCGAAGAATTCCAGACTGCCTCTCGATCGCAAGACGCCTCTCTAGTCGGAAAGAGTGACGCCTAGCACGGTGATCGAGCGGCCAGCAATTCGATGTCGAACTGATTATGTCGACTCGGGCAGGCTGAGAGCAGGGGAGCCTTTTGGTGTCGTGTTTTGCCACAGTCAAGAAGCGTCCTTTGTGTACGGGTTTCCTCGTTTGTCTCGGCCGCGACGTCAATGCTGGGAGTTCTGTCCGGACTAGTCCTGTGAAGCCCCAAAGGCCGTCTCCACCAAATCTTGGAAGTAGCGTAGAGCTGCCGGGTCGTGTCAAGGTGGTCTCCGCTCTACGGTCACGACATGCAACCGGGTCGACCTCGAGGGCGACGATGACGACAGAGGGCTGGCGGCAGCGAGATCGGACGACTAAGGGGGGATGTTGAAGGAGATGTGGAATAAGGGAGGAGAGAAGGAGGAGGAAGAGTCACGATCGGGGAAGAAGATCCCCATACAGTGAAAGCATCCATACCGTTGCCCATCCATGCCACATGTGTGGTGGTTGCGTAGGTGCGTTGCTGCGTCTTAGTGTAGTCCTGGTCGCCGCAGATGCTGCTAATTTACTTTGTCCCTGGTCGGCGTCGTTGTCTGGTGCGGTGCAAGGGGAGCTGTGCCGCCGCCGCTTGCACCAAGGTACCTAGGTACATCCGCATGCCCACAAAGCTATCGGTACGTACCCAGACCGACTCCAGCCAATCCGGTCCGGTGATTCCTCGCTTGAAGCCAGGCAATTCCCATTTCCTGCACCGGCGCTGATTTTTGTTTGCGGTTTAGCGGCCTGTTTTCTAAACATTGGTCTTTCCGGCACGCTAACGCCAGGTCCCCGCCCCATTGTACAGTAAGTTTGGCAATTTTCCTTCCTCGGGATTGGCGTAAGCTAGGAGCTTTGGCACGGATCAGGCTGCCTGCTGATGGGCACTGGAGTCAGGACGCCCGCTGTCTGAGGTGGTTTCCTCCTGACTGTTTCCAGCCACAGTGAGCTGCTTCATTTCGGCGTAACTTGCGTTAACGACAGTACAGCATTTGTTACCCGCCAAACTTGAACAACAAGAAAAGTGAGTCGCCCATACGTTCATTAATAGTGTAGGGTTAGCCAATGTGGCGGCCGCATCACACGTTAAGGGTCTGAATCTCAGTTGTTTCTTCCTTGTCTCCACACAAGGCCCGGCTGTACCTCCTCGTTGAGTAAAACACAGAAAAACCCCCTTTTGTTCCATGCTCGGCTGTGACGCCGAGATGCCAACAATCCGCGGGACCAGACTTGGAGCCACTCAGAGACTGATGAATTGATTGGCAGGGCCCATGAAGCCCAAGCCACCATTACACTAGACTTTGGTTGCTCAAAAACGGAGAACCCGGATCCAGATGGATTTTATGATCCATGCGTATCAATATTGACGTTCGTAAAGTCTAAGGCGGTTCGTTACTTTGGGGCCAATTTTCTTTCTCTTTCGCTTCCCTTCCGTCATCCACCGTATCATCTTGATCTTCTGTCTTCCCGCCTTTTCTCCTCTTTGCCTCCGAGACCACGATGCCGCGTCAACGAGTTAATTATGGGTACTAGGTAGCTCTCCGCTCTCTGTTGATCCGGCATTGGACAGTACGCAGTGATAAGTCGATTCATCAATCTTTCTCCTATGCATGAGGGCAGAAACTCTCAATATAGCGTTTGTCTAAAGTGAAATATACTGCCCGTTTCCTTATTAGCTCCACCTAAATTAACTAGGTAGTGTAATGTATTTGCTACCACAGGGGTTTGTACAGGCGGGGGAGAAAGATACATATGCTTGGGTTTGGCTTGGTTGGTTCGCATTGTCTTTGGGGGCTTGCTGCTGGCTTACACGACGCACAATCAGTTACGATAGGGCCTTGACGTTACGCCGAAGGACTATTGGCTCAAGGGCCACTCTGCGAAGGATGCCGGATCCGTTTTGACACTCGGAGTGGCATCATGCCGCACTTGTAGGCGGCGCCGTGATGGACTCCATGGAACTAACGATAGGTTTACGACGGACTCAGCATGGCAATCCCCGTTCATGTCACGCCTCATCAAACGCAAAGCCCCTCTACACTCGCATAGTTTTGCTGCATGCCTCATCAACAGCCCTGCAAAGCCCGCACGATGTCTCCTGTCAGTTGCAGACAGGCAAGGAGGTAAGATGGCTGGGGGCTCCCCCTTGCAACCGCTGAAGTCAGCAGCCTCCTCCTCTCAACAACTTTCGACTTGCACTCGATAATATCAAGGCAGGGGGCAATCGAGTGCCAAAGTCGACCCTCTTAAGACGACGGAGCGTCGTATTAAAACGACGGAGCGTCGTATTAAACGACGGAGTGTGTACATCTACACGGTCACTATACCTCTGTTTTGAACCACTTGAATTACAGAGCCTGCCAAGGTGCCCCACACAGCTTGGGCAAGCGAAAGGCGACGTCCCTAAGGAAATGGCAGCCGTTGCAGAGGGCAAACAGCGCATTAAGCAAGCAGTATTCGTTTTTAACGTTGTATTTGATCATGTTCTGACTGGCCTCGGCTTGGATGGGTATACCTAGGGGTATGTCTGTTCAATTGTTGTCTGTATAAGTAATGTTAGTGTATTCAAGTCTAGGTGCGGGGGTACTCGAGCCCTGGTGGAAATAATGTGCGTGAGGATTTACTCCGTCGTTTTAATATGGCACCCAGTTGCTTAAGGAGACTCGCCCAAAGTGGATAACACCAAGGTTAACTACACTACTCCGTATCCGTAGTTGGTACTTACATTAGTTACGGTATGTACTGTATTGTACTGTACAGTACAATACATATGGATACTGGCCTGGTGTAGAGACGGAAACAATTTCCACTGACTTTGAAGACATAATAAAGTTAAACAGACACCCCTTTCCTGAAGAATGAGCTCTGAAATACAAGCCTTTAAAATGATATTCGATGCTGTGTTTCCTGCGTGGACGTTAAGGGGCGTCTCTAAGTCTTCGATCTTGACGGGCCTTGTCATGATTTTCGTACTAGCAAATGAACCAGTACAGGCCGATGTAACTGTGGTGTCCCTGACTCGTGATTTGGTACAGTGGCCCCCTAGGCTGCAGCACTACCCCCAGGTATGTACTTCTAGGTGATGCTCGATACATTACATTGGATACCACACGGCCGGGTGAGCAAGACATTCGCAGCGGAAAGTCACCTGAAACCCATCTTATGCTTGGCCGGACTGTCCATGTTGTCGTCACCTCCTTGCGTATCCTGGATGGCAGCTTGAAAGCGGAGGCATCTTCGCCGCTGATAGGCAGTTGTATTCGTACTCTCTGGCAGGTTCCGTAAAGCAGTTCCATATGTGCCCGGTTCACATCTATCATTTATGTACTATGTACGTGTACTTGTACCTCGAGTACGAAGTAATTGAACGACAAATGGAAGCTTCCCAGGATGACGGTCATCGAGGGTTAGGCTGAGGTCGATTCACCCCTGTTCTGCTGTGGCCCAATCCTTCATCGCCTGAGAGGAGGTGTCAAGCCACAATGTTGCTTCACCCATCCATGTGCTCGGAAAGTTATGAACTTGTGAGCTGATCCCACATAAGGAGTTAACCAACTTCTCCCATACCAACCCCACTCTGAGACCTGACAATGTGTCCACAAACGGGTAGACGCTGACATGGGCGTGAGCATGGACAAGCCCAGGCCACACATGCAGCCGATATGAGAATCCTACACCACAAGAATTTGCCTGTCCACCCTCTGCCTTACAGGGTTGTATAATCTTGACGTTAGTGACTGGAACCGTCAGCCCCAAACGGAAGCGCCGGAAAGACCTGAAAACCTCTCAAGCATCCATTCTCAACTGCTTTGCGAGATGAACCCTGCTTCGAGAACAAGAAGGAAGGAGCTCCTCCTGGCCCTCTTTGGTTGGGGGTTCACTGAGTGTGACGCCGGATTTTCGGAGCAAGTTTGGAATGAAAGATGTGCAGCTCGGCTGGCCAAACGCAAGAACCCATTTGGATCATCTTCAAGGTTTGCGGTGATGCCCCGGCAGCCCAGAACTTGCGTGAAACGGTGAGACAGCGACACAGTGCGAACCGATCCATGAGCTCATCCCTAGGTAGCCGTCGGAAAAGCATCATGCCCAGAATGGCTTGACCAACCATTGAAGCCGTCTGTACGAGGTCGTTTTGCCGATACAAACTGGACACGACGCCCGAGAACCGCCATGATTCTCCTTTTCTGATCCACCCGCTGAACATTACGCATATCCAGTCAAGC